CGCCTCCGCAGAGGCCTGGAAAAGAATTGTCAAAAGCTTGGGATGGAGATTTGGTCAAGTGTTACTGCATTTCTCTCAAGTAACGGTTAAATTTGCGACGACTTTACTAATGGCACCTTCTTTACGAACGCTTGATATCAAACATGAAGATTTCATTTTGGATGCTGTTGATATCGTCTTATCGCCGGAGAACTTGGCCAATACTTTGTTGGAATTCCGTCGTACTTTGTCGCGCATGTGGAGACTTCGGTGGGATAACGAGCATAAAGAAGCCTTTTGGAGGCTGGCTCTTGATGGTTTCCCTGCCTTTCCTATGCATAGGGCGCAACGTCAAAGAGGTATCCCGGCTGCTATGTGCCCCTGTGGTGTACGCATGCTTTGTGGGGATCGTCGGCATCATTTCTGGGATTGTACTGTCGCGTTGGCTCTTCGTGAAGCTCTGCAAAACGAACTTGAGTTCCCTGACCTTTTCAACCGGGCTAACCTGTGGTTGGGCATTCCACCAACCTGGATTTGTTCGTGTGTATGGGAGGTTGTATGCCTCGCGGCCATCAGCTCACTCAATCTCGGTCGCCGTTTGTTGTTTAAGGAAGGTCTCCAGACCATCATGCCTATATCAACGCCATCGCTTAACCGCATTACATACGAGGTTATCTCTGACTTTTGGGCCCGTTTAACTGCTTTTGCGGCACGGGATTACTTGCCAAAACATTGGGATCATGTACCTCACAATCACCCTTTCTTATATGTCAATGACGCAGACATGGTTGCTTGCCGTTTACCGATATACAATGACGAAGTTTAAGGGCGCACGTCGGAGCCTCAATTTTTTGTTTAAGCGTACTAACTGAGGCCGTGTGTCCAGTGAAGTTAGTACGGCCTGGCCGAGTTCTTTTTGAATAAGGCCCACAGTGTTGTGCGGGAGGCGTTCCTATGGGCGCTGCACTCGACCCGTTCGGGGTCCACTGTAACAATCGCATCCCTGTAAGCACATTAAGCACCACGTCGTCAAACCGACTAATAGGGTCTGCGACGATATTCCGTCGGGGTCGGTATCAGAGGTCAGCAAATCGATTTTTACGGCTGCGGGAGGGCATAATTCTGGTCAGTAAACCTAAGAAAAGTCCGAAGTCAAATACACCAGCGCACGGCCCTACGGGCCGCAATAGAAGCTGCAAACCACGTTTTTCGGTCAAATTTTGGTCATTAGGAACCCGCAGCCGGGGCCTGAAACCGAATTTCGGCTGCGGGTACTGTGGTACGGACCCGCAGGACCCGCCTTATTTGCCGACCTCTGGTCGTTACCTTACCTAGGGATGAGCATGGCTGCTAGAGCGACTAACCCCCCATGATGATAATAATCTGGCATCGACTCGCATCCGACAGTACAGTAGCAGGCACAGCAACAGATCAGCTGCGGACAAGGAGCGTCAGCTTTCTTCCTTTGAGATGCAGTTCTGCACGTTCCAGAGTCAATTACGGAAAGACGTGGAAAACTAAAATGCTGATTGCTAAAGGACGCACGGCGGCAAAGCATGCGGGACGGAAAAATTGTCATGTCATTGCAAGTTCTAACTTCCTGTATGAGACAGCTATAAGACGAACAGCTCCGGACTGCTGCAAATCCAGGAGCTTCGCCTCGCGCGTCCAAGGTAGACCGCAATTGCCCTTTGCTCAAGTGCCGTCGGCTGTTTGTCGATACCTTTGACCGATGCCATGCCAAAGCGCGCGCACACATGTGCCGCGCTGTTTTCCTATGCGGCCTTCAATTGCCATCTTGAAAAGCTAGTCAGGGCATTCGTTATCTCACAAACTACTTCGGGAGGGAAATAAGAAAACGAATATCACTCCTGCGATTTTTTTCCTTTCTCTTTCACCTTTCAAGTATGCAACCGTCAGCGTAACGCTTAGGCCAAGCGAAATCAGGCCAGGCCTGCTCACAGGAGCGCAAAGCAAGGAAGCCAGCAACAGACCCGTTGTTTGGATCCCCAGGCAACCAACTTCGCACCACGCCATGCTGCGTGAGGAGCGGAAGTCCTCATCTGGGAAAGCTCTCTCCCAGGCAGCAGCTTCGCCCGCTGGCCCCGTCTTTGACGACGACGGCTTGCAAGACGGCAGCTTCAGTGGCCGCGGCAGCAGTTGCACACGTCGCCAACAGCAGAAGTCAGCGTTGCCGACCAGTTCACTCGATCACACCGCATCTGGCACGTCTTTGCTGTATCAATTCTTCAGCGGATCCAAGGCCGCCGCCACGCCGCCGCACATCAGCAGCTCCGAAGCTAAACCAGGCGATAGAGACGGCTGCGGGCGGCGCGGCGGCTTGGACAGCTCGTCGTCGCCGGCCGCCGCAGGGGCAGAAACCGCCGCCGCTGCCGCCACTGCCACCGTCGCGGATCGCTGGCTCAGGACCGCATCGCCGCCGCCAGCAGCTCCGCCGCCGGCGCCGCCGGCACCAATGGCAGGCGTCACGGACGTGCAAGAAGAGCAAACTGCGCAGCGCCGGCAGGCCTTGCTGCGCCGGCCTACTGGACCGTCAGCAGTGGCGGCGGCGGCGTACGACAATGACAGTGGTGGAGACGACGGTAGTGACGGCGACGGGGCCGCCACCGTGCCTGTGGTCTACTTCTCCGGCGCTATGTACCAGCCGTCGTCGCCGACGACGCAACGTCGTACAGCAAGTCGGCGCGCGACCCGGGCGGCCGCTGCCACAGGCACGAATTCCACAGCAGTGCTGGATGCCGACGGGGGCGGCAGAGCGCCAGCGTCGGATTCTTTGTACGAGACTGCTGCGGTTGAGCCGGGGATTACGTCTTGGCCGCTCGACACTGCTACCGCCGCGGCCGCCGCCGCCGCCGCTGCAATAGATTACGACTGGCTGCAATCAGCACCCGGGGCGCCTCGTCTACCGGCATCGACGTGTCCTTCTACGAGTCAGCTCGGCGGCCACAGCAGATTTGGCAGTAGCCCGCCTCAATGCGCATCAAATCCCGTGATTCCGTTGGCGAACCAACTGCCCCAACGGTCACGCCTCGGTAGTACTGCAGGTGCTGAACCACATGGTGTCAGCAGCAGCTGTTCTTCAACAAATGCTGTAGTGTACAAGGACCACGTGTTCGTACCGGGATTTTACGACGTGTACGGACGCGGCCATGCGACTGGGAGAAGCGGCGGCGCTGGCGGCGGCGATCGCATGCCGCGTGTGTGGAGCGCAAACGGGGGTCTGAGCGGCGGCAGCAGTACTGCAGCGCGGGGGCATCGCACGGCAAGCTATGTTCTGGGTTCGTTGGTGGTTATGGGGGTGGTGATATTGGGCCTTGTGTGCGTCGCCATGCGTGGCGGAGTCCATCTACCTCATGAAAGTGCTACTGCCGTCCGCACGGCTGCTTTCGCGGCCGCATGGGATTCTGTAGAGGCCGGCAGTCGCATAGGCAGTAGCAGCAGCGGTGGCGGTAGCGGTAGCAGTAGCGGTGGCGGTAGCGATGTTGGTAACGGCGTCTCCATTATAGACCCCATAGAGCCGCCTCTGCCACCTGCATACGCGCCGCCGGCAGCGGAAGACACAGCCACGGTGCGTGCACCTTCGATCGTCGTACAGCGAAACCGCCAAGAAGACGAGGCCGCGCCGCCGCCGCCGCCGCCGCCGCCGCCAGCCTCCATCGACGAGGAGACCCGGCTCCCCTGGTGGTCAGGCATTACCGCACAGCTTTCAGCGTTCTTTTATGGTCGAGAGGTATCGCCGCCTCCGCCGCCGTCACCGCCACCGTCGCCGTCACCGCCGCCGCCGACGGAAGTGCTTCCCGACGTTACAGCGCTGCAAGCCGTGATCCGAAAATCAAGAGGCGCTGGCAAAGGCACCGGCACGGGCACCGGCACCGACGTCGGCGCCGGCGCCGGCAGTGATGGCGGCATTAGTGGCGACGGCGACGTCGCCGCCGATGACAGCACCGACGGCGCCGAAGACGCCGCGTCAGAAGACCCTACGGGAACTGCACTCGGCGGCGCCTTGACGCTACATCATGCCGCTGCTGCGGCGGCGGCGGCGGCGGCGGCCGTCGGTGCGAAAGGATCGGCAGGTTTGGATTGGGACGGCCGACTGCCGCTGCCGCCAGTACCGCTGACGGCGCCGCCGCTGTCGAGGGCAGCCACTCGGCGGCACCGAGCGGCCGCCGCGGCATGGGCCCGCCAGCTCGATGTCCTGCCCACGGACGAGTTGTACGATCGGACAGCATTCGCCGCCGCCGCCGCCGCCACGACGGGTGCAGGCCATGGAGCGGCCGGCTGTGTGCCGTTAGGATACGGCACTGCAAACCTTTCGCTACTGAATTCTTTGTTCAACACATCCGCCAACCCGCGGTATATCAACATTGGTGCGTCCGTACCCGAGCGGGTGGGTGGAGGAGAGCTGTCCGAGGGTAACGTCAGAGGGAATGCGGTTGCTGATTAAAACGTATTGTAATCTATGTCCCCGTACGACTTTTTCCACAACCCCTTACAACCACCACTAACCACCACTAACCAACCGTCGGTCCATTCATCTGTAGTCCGCCAGTACTTGTCCGGCCCGCGCCCAACCAACCAACCAACCAACCAAATAATAATTATTCACTAAATGTTCGCATCTTCGGCCGTCCACACAGGCAGTTGGCGCCACAGCCAACCAACGGAATCCAACCGTCTTGCCAGCAACCCCCAACCGCGCGCCGGGCTCTCAGGGGACGCGGCGCTGTTCGTGGTATCGAGATTTGGTCGACTGGTGCTCGCTGACGGCCGCCCTTTCCGAATCATGGGGCTCGACGTTCCCCCACTGATGGAGTGGGCGGGACGGAGGGCGACACGGCCGCAGGTGTGTGCGTGTGTGGACTCCCCTCACTCCCCCCAACCCCGCACTCCCCCCAACCCCGCACTCCA